GGAGTGGTGGAGCAGAGGTTAGAGAAGATGGGCCTGTGATCGGAAAGTCGCCGGTTCAACTACCGGTACTGTCAACAACGTCATCAAAATGTGGGTGGAAAAGGTGAAACACCTGCCTCCAGCCTCATTTGCCCCACTCTGGGCACCTGAGCAATGCCCTTAACCTCCACCATCTGCTCCCTAAAACAGGTCTCTCTTGAAAATGAACTCTCGAGACTCAGTGAGACTACCTGTATAAATAAAGGGTAAATGAGAAAATATATATATATACCAGTATAAATAATCTAAAGAGTTTAAGAATCTTAAAATTGTACAAAGAAATTTGAACATTTCATAAAGTAGTTGTATCATTCCAAGCCGCCAGGCGGCGCTGCTTCCTTTTCTTTACATTGAGACGTCGGTCGAACTGGACTGACTGACGTAGCGAAAACTGTTACATCGTTGACTGTTCGAGCCGTCGGAATGGGTCACTTAAACTGTGATATTTTGTTACGTTTTTTATCAACCTTTTCGTTCATTTTATTGGGTATATTCGGACTCTCTGCCGGGACGGAACTGAGCTCTGTTACATGCGGTTCAGTCATTAAACTTTTGAATATAAAGCACAATGTCAGGCTGCACTCTCACGATGTTCGCTACGGATCCGGTGAGTTTTCTTGTTTTGTTCATTTGAACTTTTTAAGCTAACGATATGGCTAAACTCCCTGATTTTCCGCGTTTGTAACTCTGCGTCTACGGTCCTAATTACATAATTGAATATTTATGATCAAAGGTCTAATACTAATAGTACAACATGTCTTAACCTCATTGGTGGTGGCATTTATGTTAAATTATTAAAAAATGTATGTTTTTTAGTTTTGGTAATGTATTAAAGCAGTCTTTTGCTGAAGGTTTAAATTTAATATACAAATACACAAGCAGCACTTGTGGATTTTGGTTTGGTTAGTTTTTCATTAATCCTGGTGTTGTTGGTAAATTTAGCGTTTTAAAAATGTCTCTCCATGTCAGACAGCAAAAAGCACGACATATACGTTTTCTGTACTGATTACAAGTTAAGACACATTCCAAATATGTTTGAAATGTAGAGAACTCGCCCCAGTTACAAAAAAAGGACTTTGACATTCATCCACCTTTATTTATACAGGTTAGTCTCATTGAGCCTCGAGGACTCATTTACAAGAGAGACCTGTTTTAAACAAAGAACACAGACAAATCCTGCTACTGGGTGTATGAAAATAGGATTTAATGTCTGAGATATGGCCTCATTAGATGCAACATGTCCAGGACTAGACTGCTGGTGGCCCTCGCTTATTTCTATTAAGCATTGTTTTAATTTTTTTTAAACAATCTTCGGTCAGACACTCTTGAAATTGTCTAATCATGGGACTTTGCTTGATATTTATTATGTACTGTAATAAATTGATTTAAAAGTACAGAAGTTGGGTCTTTCCTGTCCCTTATTTTCACTGCCATGACAATTTGGTGTCAGAGGTGGGATGTTTTTGCACCCAAACTAATGGTCTTGGCAGACAAAAGCCTGCTATAAAGAGTTAAGATGGTCTCAGTTGGTGGTGGTAAACCTTTAGGGGCTTTTAAATATTTTATGTAAACCACCAGATCTCTTTGAGTTGGCATATACAAACATCAAGACCAAAAGTTCTAAGGTGGGAACTTGGGATCTGTCTGAAGTGCTAAAAGACCTGAGATGTTTTACTCCAGTAGTGGTGTATAAACCTATTTTTTTGCGTTTCTGCATGGTGACCACAGGAACGTTTTCATGCACAGAGAGAGTGTGTTGTTTAGTTTTTAAACGTTGAGGTTTTTGTTATTAAGTTTTCGTGTAACCGATAGTGCATAAAATACATTAAAATTATAATAGATGATATATTTAATTATTTTAAAATTGGATTTTTTTTGTTCACGACTGCCTTCAGAATTAGTAGTCAATTGTGCCTGACATTAATTTTTATAAAGAAGGCACTATGACTAGAACAGAAAGTCTCAAAATACAATACAAATTATACAAATGCTTCTCATACACTCTTACAAATTACCGTTTTACTGTAACAAATTCAAATGTGTCATTTGCATAAGTGTTTTTTTTTATTTTTATTTTATGTTTTTAATGAATCCCTCTGTGTGTGTGAGACAGGTAGTGGACAGCAGTCTGTAACAGGCGTTTCTGTAGTGGAGGACAGTAACAGCTACTGGAGTGTCCGTGGGACGAGTGACACCTGGTGTCACCGTGGGACCCCAGTGAAGTGTGGGCAGATGATTCGCCTCACTCATGTCAACACAGGACGTAATCTGCACAGCCATTACTTCACCTCTCCGCTCTCCTCTAACCAGGTGGGTGCTGAAAGCAGGCTATTTAAAAAAAAAAAAAGAAAAATAGTGTTATGAGAATATTTATCCTTAGAGTTTACTTAAGAGATTGGTTAAAATTATTAATGTGTAAAAGAAGCTTAATAATTTATGGGCTAATTTAACAAAGCTGGTTGCCAGATCAAATCCTGGCCGGGGACTTTTCTGGGTTGAGTTTGCATGTTCTTTCCGTGCATGTGTGGGTTTTCTCCAGTTTTCTCCCACAGACTAAAAACATGCATGTTAGGCTGATTGGTAACTCTAAATTGTTCCTAGATGTGAGTGAGAGAGTGAATGGTTGTCTCATTTGTCTCTATGTGTCCCTGTGATGGACTGTAGACCTGTCCAGGGTGTCTCCTGTCTCTCACACAGTAACTGCTGGATATTGGCACCAATGACTAGGCCTGTCGCAATAAACAATAAATCTATTAATCGCATGATGCATGAAAATTATCGACTTCATTTTCATTTATCAGCTTTATTGTTTCTGTGAGTCTCTCTCTTTCTACTGAAGACACTGGATGACAAAAGGCTCAACTCCAGTGCTCTTCACTGACTTCTCCCTTTGTCTTTTTTCTTTAAAATTTGTTTTATCATCCAAAATTGCGTTTTTGGCTCGTTAAAAGCAGCTAAGCTGAGAAACTAAGCTACGAGCTAAGTTAACAGGCCAGCTTTGGGAATAAACCTCTGTCTTGTCGAAGCTCCAAAATTCACGGTTGAAACCTGTGCCTTCTTGTAAAAAGTTGTTTTTCTCTGCAAAAAGAAGCTGAGAACTTGTTTACTGATTTTTTTTTTTTAAATAAAAAGCTTTGTGTGGAAAATGCTATGCTAAAGAGCTCAAATCACCTGGCGTCCGCCATGTCACCGTGGCAGCCCATGTCACGTCAAGGGTCCTCCCTCCCATTTTTCTTAGAGACATGCTACTCAATGATCCATGCTTTGGTTCAAACAGTTTATACTTCCATCAGGTGGTCAAAAAAGGTACTACACACCAAACAAATCAACATTTCTTCTAAAATTTGACAATTGATTATTGTTAAATTTCAAACAATATTATCTTTTATCGCAATGATTTCTGAGACAAATAATCGCCCAGCAAAATTTGTTATTGTGACAGGCCTACCAGTGACCTCTGCGACCCAGAAAAGAAGCGGGTAAAGATAATGGATGGATGGATATAAAACATTTTGCACACATTGTATATTCACTGTAGTTTCAATCCCTGTGATAACACTTGGAAATGAGAGAATTATATCAGAGTCAGAGATTCTTGTCATTCGCACCACATGTGGTACATGTGGTGGAGCGAAATTATGTACACAGGGTCCCAGTTACATCCAACAATAAAATGTAAAAGAAAAACAGTAATAACATCTAAGATATGAACTAATAAATACATCAACTAAAATATAGTAAGCACTAATGGCATAAAAACATTACGTCGAACAGCAGCACAAACATGAACATGAGTCTGTGTGAGCAGATGTGCACGCAGGAACACATCAACATGAAACAGATCAGCAGCAACATGAAACAGATCAGCAGCAACATGAAACAGATCAGCAGCAACATGATGTGATTTTTTTTCACAGTGATTATTCTAGTTAGAGATTCATGAGTCTTAACAGCCTTAGGGTAGAAGCTGTTCCTCAGTCTAGTGGTTCTACACTTAATGCTCATTAACCTCCTTCCTGAGGGGAGTAGGGCAAAAAGTGTGTGTGCTGGGTGAGTGGGGTCCTTCATGATGCAGCTTAATGCAGGGGAATAGGATTGATGTGCAGGAGGGTAGATCATCAGATGGCCACCCTCCTTCCCTGATATTTCACTGATGAGCCTAAAACATCTTTTGAGTTTAATGGTGTGACTTGGTGTAAAGCAAAAGCACAAAATGCCAGAAACGACACTAATCAAACATTTTGTCTAAAGGGTTGTTTTTGTACACACGTTTTTGTCATCCCACTTAAAATTGCAAGGAAAGAATCACACTGACAAAAAAACATGTTTACCTACATTACTGTGCTCCTTTAATCTCTGTTTGTGTGTCTGCAGGAGGTGAGTGCATTTGGCGAGGAAGGAGAAGGAGACCACCTCGATGAGTGGGCAGTTCAGTGTGGGGGGGCTGTGTGGAAGCGGGAAGAGGCTGTGCGTTTTCGTCACAAAGCCACGGACGGCCTGTTGTCAGTGACAGGGGAGCAGTACGGACGGCCGATCCACGGTCAGACGGAAGTTCACGCCATGTCGAGTCCCACTCAGCACAGCCTGTGGAAGGCCATGGAGGGCATCTTCATAAAGCCCAGTGAGCTCCCCGCAGGCAGCAGAGACTACAGTCACACACACACAGAGTTCTGAACTTCACTTCTCTTTCTCTGTTTCTGTCTCTTTGTGTTCTCTTGTTTTTTGTCTTAATATATTGGTGAGAATCCACCTTCCTGACCATAATAACAACATGGAAATGTAGATCGTAAAAAGACACCGAGAAGGTAAAAATAAAATGTTTGAACAGATTCAAAATTAAACAGAGGTGTTAAAATCTTTATTTCACTTTATGATATTTAAAGTCTTACAGGAGGGGCACTTACGGCCCTTATGCATTGAAAGACCCAGCCTGGACTAGCTTGACCCGAGTGTTGACATTGGGCAGTCTGGTCCAGTTCTAGCTCAAGTTTTTGAACCCAGACACCTGGGGTTCCGTTGGGCCGGGCTGGTGCTTGCTGCTGGCTGGTTGTGTGATGGAGAGAGCTTTTTAGAAAAAAATGGCAACAGATACAAACAACGAGGGTGCAGTTCTTGCTGAGCTGAGATTTGTGCGGTCTTGCTATGATGATTTCGCCCACATCGAGGCAGCACTCTGCTGAAACCAAACCAGAGCCGGGGAAGACCGGGCCTGGACCGACTGTGGCCGGTCCAGGCCAAACCAGGCTTCACAATTAAGAGGCATTTGTTAGACACTTTTGTCTAATAACACGTTTTCAAACACATTCACCAAGTGAATCATATTTGTTTGGACTACGTCTGTGCCTTTAAGCACCTATATAAAACGTTGTGAGTGTTCACGTTGAGCTTTTGAAGACCGTTACTTTTAGCACATTTTTATGGCATTTTAAGCCATATTTATGTCCACAACAGTTAAACAGTGTTCCTAAAGACAAGCAGCAGTATTGTTTGTGGAGATGATTTTTTAAAATCACTGGATGCTGTTTATTGTCAGTGTTTGATGATTTTTATTTTTTTTAATGTTATGCAGTGTTTCACAGTCATGCTGCTGGTGAAAGCAAAGTGTTCATATGAGCATCGAACTGTCGATGAATACCTCATAATAAAGTGTTTTTGCTTAACATCAGCCTGTTTTTTTTATTTTAATTGGATGGCAAAGACTTTAAAATCACATATTTTCTGTAATTAATAAAGAATACGGAAGTGCAGAAGCTAATGTTTGTTCGGACCATTACACTTTGATAAACGCTCCGTTTGCTCACATAATGATGTCTTTTTGGTTCATTATCTGACACTTAATGGGGTTTCAGTGGCTCCTATGAGGCTGTTCTAACTCGTGTTTGATCTGTCGTGAGTTATTCTGACGTCTCATCCCAATACGGCTGACAAACACAAGTTCACGTCGAGTTGAAATTCTTGAAGAGTTTGTTGTATGGATTTTCATCACACAGAGGTCAGTTGTTGACCTGAACAGTTCGTCTTGTCTTCTTTGGAAAGCAGAAATGAAAACTTTCTTGCGTAGTTCTGTTTGACACAATAACGACAAGCGATGACGAGCAGGAAAACGGCCTGTGGCCCGTTGTGCAAAAGTAGAATTAAGGATTAAGCTGGGTTTTTGTGTTCTCTTGGATAAACTAATCCTTGATTCAGTTGGACACAAGAGGAAGCGCAAGTTTAATGTTTAATTTAATTTTGGTTAATTTAATTCAAAATTTTATATAAAATATCTAACATGTTTCTGTTTACAAACTTCTCATTTAACTTGCATTCTGTAAAGCTTTTTTCTGACTAATTTTAATCTACATAATTATACAGGTGCTGGTCATAAAATTAGAATATCATGAAAAAGTTGATTTATTTTTGTAATTCCATTCAAAAAGTGAAACTTGTATATTCATTAATTACACACAGATTGATATATTTCAAATGTTTATTTCTTTTAATGATGATGATTATAAACGACAATGAATGAAAACCACAAATATCTCAGAAAATTTGAATATTAAGACCAATAAAAAAAGGTATTTTTAGAAATGTTGGCCAACTGAAAAGTATGAACATGAAAAGTATGAACATGTACAACACTCAATATTTTGTTGGGTCTCCTTTTGTCTGGATTACTGCAGCAATGCAGCGTGGCATGGAGTGGATCAGTCTGTGACACTGCTCAGGTGTTATGAGCCCAGCTTGCTCTGATAGTGGCCTTCAGCTCTTCTGAATTGTTGGGTCTGGTGTATCATCTTCCTCTTCACAATACTCCATAGATTTTCTATGGGGTTAAGGTCAGTCAAGTTTGTTGGTCAATTAAGAACAGGGATATCACAGTCCTTAAACCAGGTACTGGTAGCTTTGGCACTGTGTTCAGGTGCCAAGTCCTGCTGGGAAATGAAATCTGCATCTCCATAAAGTTGGTCAGCAGCAGGAAGCATGAAGTGCTCTAAAACTTCCTGGTAGACGGCTGCATTGACCTTGGACTTCAGAAAACACAGTGGACCAACACCAGCAGATGACATGGCAACCCAAACCATCACTGACTGTGGAAACTTGACACTGGACCTCAAGCAACATGGATTCTGTGCCTCTCCTCTCTTCCTCCAGACTCTGGGACCTTGATTTCCAAAGGAAATGCAGAATTTACTTTCATCAGAGAACATAACTTTAGACCACTCAGCAGCAGTCCAGTCCTTTTTGTCTTTAGCCCAAACGAGACGCTTCTGAGGCTGTCTCTTGTTCAAAAGCTCGAGTGGCTTGACACAAGGAATGCAACAGCTGAACCCCTTGTCTTGCATACGTCAGTGCGTGGTGGTTCTTGAAGCACTGACTTCAACTGCAGTCTACTCTGTGAATCTCCTACACATTTTGGAATGGGTTTTGTTTCACCATCCTCTCCAGGGTGTAGTTATCTCTATTGCTTGTACATTCTTTTCTACCACATATTTTCCTTCCCTTTGCCTCTCTATTAATGTGCTTGGACACAGAGCTCTGTGAACAGCCAGACTCTTTAGCAATGACCTTTTTTGTCTTGCCCTCCTTGTGCAAAGTGTCGGTGATCATATTTTAGACAACTGTCAAGTCAACAGCCTTCCCCATGATTGTGTAACCTACAGAACTAGACTGAAACCATTTAAAGGACTTTGCAGGTGTTTTGAGTTAATTAGCTGAGAAGAATGTGGCACCAGGCGTCTTCAATATTGAACCTTTTCACAATATTCTAATTTTCTGAAATACTGAATTTGAGGTTTTCATTAGTTATAATCATCAACATTAAAATAAAAACATTTGAAATATATATATCAGTCTGTGTGTGATGAATAAATATAATATACAAGTTTTACTTTTTGAGTGGAATTACTAAAATAAATAAACTTTTTCATGATATTCTAATTTTATGACCAGCACCTGTATATTATTATTATTATTATTATTATTATTATTATTATTATTATTATTATTATTATTATTATTATTATTATTATTATTATTATTATTATTATTATTATTATTATATCACCAGGCAGGCTGCACATCCTCTGTTTTTATACTGAGTTTGTCAATTTCAATGATAGTCTCATTATAACATTTAATTTTGTTTAGAATGATTAAACTACAATAACACTTCGATAAACCTATTTAGTTTGAAAACGTTTGAACTTTCAAATGTGTTTTTGTTTTTAAATGTTGTAAATTATGATTTTTAATTGGCCTAACTGCCATATATATTTAGGTGAGTCTTAATATAAGTCTCTAGGGCGTTTTCTATTCTAACCTTGCATTTCTATGTTAAAAAACAAAACAAAAAAGACATGTTTCAGGAATGAAAACAGTAGCCATACATTTATATCAAAACAAGATTTTATTGCATAAACATATATAGGTATGTATATATTTTTTTGATGAAACAGGGGAAACTTTGCATTTTAAATATCTGTTGGTAACTATTGCTGTTTTCCGTCTCCTTTTCTAAGCAGCATGCCAACGTTGTTTTTCGTAAGGTTGTTTAGTTTTTATCTCTATATAATCTACAACTGGTAAAAACATGTTTTGGTAAAAACAAATATTAAAAACATGAAAACCACGAGCTGGTCCTGCCCTGTTGCTGATGTATAGTGTAATAATGTAAACTTTAGAAGGGGCAGAGAGGAGAAAACTCCTTCACATCGTCATGCAAGGACGCCGGACTGGCACGATTATTGGAGGAAATGTTTTGACAAAGTGATTGACGCTGGTTTCAAAAGGGTCATGGTGCCGACACACAGGAGAAAAGATATGGTCCATTAGCCAGATGTCAGTGTGCTGAAAATTCTAAAGACAAATCACCGTACGAGGACAACTAGCATACATTATACAGAGTTTTGTCCAGACTATGAGGCTGTGAGGAGATTGTATTTAAACCAAAAGTGACAAAACACATGATCAAATAGATTCTGTGTGTTTATCCATCCACAGAGGCCTGCAGACTGTCCCAGAGGCAATATGAAACAGAGATGATGATGATGATAATGTGACCTTGTATTTGCATATTTATGAAAATGCCCTCTTTCTGAGCTCCAATTTGATTAACTGCTGGTAGAAACGATAAAAATGGCTATTTCAGTAGAAATAGGAAAGTTAAATGTGACAGTAGCACGTCCATAATTATACTGATTATGATGTGCCACCAAACAAAGAGTCAAACTCTCATTCTTTAAAGACGTGAAAACCTTAACAACATGCATAACGATTTACAGTATTATACAGGTTCACCAAGAACATAGAAAGATTTTTTTTAAATGTTTTTCTTTGTTGTTTGTTGTTGCCTTTTAATCTTTTCACAAAACCATTCAAAAACTTTTCATGTTTGCAGTTTCACGTTTTAATGATAAATCTACTTCCGCTGTTATCTGCCTGGAAAATAGACAAAAGAACCTTTAAGGGACAGTTTAGATTTGTTAAAGTGGGGTTCTGTGGAAAGATTATCTGTATAGTATAGTATGGTATGGTATGGTATGGTATGGTATAGTATAGTATAGGATGGTATAGTATAGTATAGTATAGGATGGTATAGTATAGTATAGGATGGTATAGTATAGTATAGGATGGTATAGTATAGTATAGTATAGGATGGTATAGTATAGTATAGGATGGTATAGTATAGTATAGTATAGTATAGTATAGTATAGTATAGTATAGTATAGTATGGTATAGTATAGGATAGTATAGTATGATATGGCATAGTCTGTTATAGGATGGTATAGTGTAGTATAGTATGGTATTGTATAGTATGGTATAGTGTGGTATTGGATGGTATAGTATTGTATGGTATGGTATGGTATAGTATGGTACAGTATAGTATAGGATAGTATGGTATAGTATAGTGTAGTATAGTACAGTATAGTATAGTACACTATAGTACAGTATAGTATGGTATAGTATAGTGTGTATATTGTAGTATGGTATAGTATAGCACAGTATAGTATAGTGTACTATAAGTACAGTATAGTATGGTATAGTATAGTATCATATGCTGTAGGATGGTATGGTATAGTATGGCATGGCATGGCATGGCATGGCATGGTAAAGTACAGTATAGTATAATATACTATAGTATGGTATGATATAGTATATTATAGTATGGTATGGTAAAGTACAGTACAGTATAATATACTGTAGTATGGTACGGTATAGTATAATATAGTATGGTATGGTATGGTAAAGTACAGTACAGTATAGTGTAGTAAATTTGGGAGCCGTCTGCTTGTTGAGTGAGGTCGAGACCAAAGTGGATTGTTATTGTTTTAAATCAAATCCAGACTATAAATAGTCATAGTGGTGGAATACTAATTTATAAGCAAAGCATTGCTCTCAATTTCATATTACATGATCATTTATATTGTGTACTTTTAAGCACAAATAGCAGCAGCAGATGAACTTCCAGCGCAGCCTGGCATCACTGCTGCGGATGTGTTGGTGTTTTATTTTCTTGTTTGAAATGTGCCCTACCTCGTTCATTTCTGCCTTGGCAGTTTTAGTTTCTCCTCAGCTTCCCTGTTTGCTCGTTCACACACTCCTGTCATTCATTAGTAATCTTCTCAGCTGCTCTGACTCACTAATTAACCCACCTAACCAAAAAAAAGAGGTTCCCCCTCACCCACTGACGCTAGGTCAGATCTCCTGTACAAAAGTAAGTGTTCATTTGTCGGTTTTTATCACCTTCACTTCTGGTTTTCTTTTCATTTGTTAAATATTTGGATTTATACCTGCCTGCATATTTATAAATAATAATAATATTTGGGTTCTAAAGAACAAATCCATTACACCTGGGCATTTTTGAAGGAAGATCATTTTTCTGCTAGATTAAATTTGAAAAGTGAAATTGATGGCAGTGCCAAGATTTATAAAATATTGTTCACATAAATGATGACATTCTTCAGACTGAGGTTGATTTAAGACCATGGCAACACACTAGGACTAGTTGTTTGCTCATTTATTCAGTCAGAATTTAAGCCTTTTTCTCCAACGTGAGCTTGTTCCAAAAGCTATCTATGGCAGGTAAGATGTTAATTGTTTATAACCTTTAAACAGAACCTCACATCAAAAGATCCAAACCTCTGCTATAAAGCGGCCTCCAGTCTAATCGTATGCAAACAAAGTCACACTCATGTTCTGACATTCTGTAAAGACGAGCAATGAACAGATGCAACACTGCATCAGCAAAAAGTGTGTCAATTTAGTTCTAATAAAATTATTAATTATTTCACACAATGTGAAGTCATTTAAATATTGCTCTTTGTCACTGTCCACATACAGTTGTCTATAAACTTGGATATTTGTTGGGACATGCAGGTTATTTTGAGACATTTCTAGTGTTTGCAGATAAACGTCATCATCGCTCATTTAGGCTCAAGGTTATTCTCAAATTTCATTTATGGTATTGAAGAAGCTTTAGTTATGAAGACCACATTCTTAATAGGAAAATAATATTTTAAGTAGCTTTGAAGGATCTCATAAAATAAAACAGCTTTTAAATTCAGACCATAAAACAAATCATAGATACGACTCTCAAAAAGTATTTCAGTGTTTGTTCTACCATCCAGTCCTGAGCAGCAAAGTGTGAGTTGTGGAGAAAAATATATTCTTCACAGAGACAAGACAAACTAAACTTTCAGAAGTGACAAAACCTCTGTCGTCATTTATGCATTTCTGGCTGCAGTTTTAATTTTCACCACTAGAGGGAAACCTTTCCCCAAGAAAATGTCTGCTGTCTGTAAGTTACAGCTCTTTTGCCCATCTGATAAAACACCATTTTTTTTCTTTTTATGCATTCTGCTTTTTAAGAGGAGTAATACATTACACGAGCTAAGTAGCACTATATATACAGTGAAATCCATGGGGAGTTAATGGCAGTGTATATACAGCACTGGCATGCTTTTATTTTTACCGCATGGGCCGTGTCATAATAAAATGTTGAGACAAAAACTGTTTTCTTTGTTTGTTTTTCTCTTCTTTTCCCACTTCTTGATATTTTACACCTGTCGGACAGCATGAGCGATTAATAAATGTGTACAGCTCTGTCTTTTACGCACCACACAAATGCAACATGGTTAATCAATCGATACTGAGCAGAGCAATGGCTCTTAAGTGGTCCCTGACTGCGCTTTGAGTTGTGCTTCCTCCAGAGACATGTAAAGATTTCTTATTTCTTGTACAATTGGCAGACTGATCTGAGGATGTATAAATGCTTCACACAGAATGTGACACCGGCACAGCTACATGAAATGTGAAGAATTTGCTGTGTGTTTAAATGCTTTGACCAATACCTAGTGCTCACATTTTCTCTGTCACACTAAGTCCACCTTTTGGAGCGTAAATATACAGTTGTCTACAATAACTGTGTGTTTTGAAAAACACAAGTATAGCTCAACGCCCCTGATAAACATCCCTTAACATCCAGAATAAGAAAATCAAGTTTAAAGGGTGGGTTTGGTCTCAAAAACAGCAATTCATTCGTTCAGTGTCATGGTTTGTACAAAACCATAACACTTTAGCTGTTCAGGTTTGGTTTGTGTCCAGGAACTCTTGCAGAACAAGCTCACCTTCCAACATTTGACCGACACAGTCGGCTTCACACGTAAAATAAAATAAATTAAATAGAAAACGCAACTGATTGTTTTTCAAGAAGTGCTTGGGTTGTGGCTGGTCCAGCTTTGGCTGCAACGACAAAGACGTGAGGTCGTGGCTGTTTTCTGTCCACCTCACATGCTCACAGTGCAACTGGTTTTCCTGTCACTCCATGCCGTTTCGCAACATCTGATTGGCCGCGATGAGCATGACACTGATGATGAAAGCCATGGCGAAGGCGCAGATCAGGCTTTTCCTGACGCAGGTTTGTCGATTCTTCTTCTTAGGATGGACTGAAAGAACAGATGAGAGTATTTTTAGTTAAAAAAAAGGTACATTATTTATATTTGGGAAGTTTTAAAGTCATTAAGGCTTGTTTTGTTTTGCACATGTATGACTTGTTCACACAGGTCTTAAAATAAAAATAAAGAATCCAACTATTTGATAACTTAAATAAAAAAATCTATCTAATGTGAGAGTCAATGCAGTGTGTGAACCTAACGTGAAAATTAAATTGGAGTTTTCAATCAATAGGAATCGTGAATGTGAATGTGAAGTTTCCTTCGGTTTCCTTCCACAGACCAAAAACATGCATGTTAGGCTGATTGGTAACTCTAAATTGTCTCTAGGTGTGAGTGAGAGAGTGAATGGTTGTTTGTCTCTATGTGTCCCTGTGATGGACTTGGACCTGTCCAGTGTGTCCGCCGCCTCTCACACTATGACTGCTGCGTATGGACACCAGTGACCCCTGCGACCCGAAAAGGAAGAAGCGGCTAAAGATAATGAATGGATGGATGGTTAAAACATCGCTCCAAAAGTTAAACTCACACAAAGATTACAGGCCTCTAGCACACAGTTTACAAAAGGTACAGATAGTTTAAATAAGAAATGTGCTTGAAATTAATAATAAAATAAAAAAAACACTAGGCGACATAATCTGTCCTTTTGTCTGTTTTCGTTGTGTTTTCTCGTCTTTATTTCCTTTCCTGATCCTGATGTGTTTGACTCTGTTCCTTTGTGTGTGGCTCCGTCATGTGGTCTGTCCCAGTTATTGCTCCCTCATGTAATCAAGTCCCTGCCTCCTACACCCGTCATCTATCCCAGGTGTTTTCACTCTGTCTCGTCAGTGTCTGTATGTAAGTCTGTGTCTCCTGTTCTTTGTTAACTGGGCATTGTCTCATGAAGGTTCCTCGTTCCTGCTCCCTGTTCTGCACCACGTTCTGGCTTTAGTGTCCTCTCATGGTTCATGTAAGTTGTTGTTGCCATGTCAGCCCTTTTGTTTACTTTCATTAAATAACTTTTAACCTGAGTCCTCCGAGTCCTTCCTGCCTTTTGGGTTCAGCCACCACCAGATTGTTACACTAGGTTCTTCACTGTAATTTCATCTGTTCAACACGGTGGTGGTTGTATCATAGTTGGGACATGTTATGCTACATCTGAATGTAATGGGTCAAAAATATTAGTCATAGCAGCAAAGGATTGAGCACACATCTGTGAGTTAAGTTTCAAGAGAAAATGATAGGAACAAGAGACTGGCCAACTAAAGAATAGTTCCAATTAAACTAACTTAATGCTTTAAAATGGCCTAAACAGAATCAAACTAAAATGTGAAAAATCCTGAAATTCATTGTGAGAAAACACATTAATATCAAAGTTGAAGCTGTTCTATATAAATAAACTGGCTAATATTTATCCAAGTTAAAATGCACAACTTTCTGAGCATCTAAAATAAATGTTTAGAGAGGAGCTCAACACGAACACCCCTCCAAATCAGTTTTTCTTGATTTCCTTTCCTTTGAGGAAGTGTAAAAATCTGACCATTTTTTAAATTATGTTTTTGCAGAAATATAAAACGTAATAAATGATTCATGAACCTGAGAGCTCCACGAACCGAAAACTTTAACACACAGTCAAATGTTCGGAGAATCCTCATAACAACAAAGAGTCATGTTAAATCGTTGTTGAATTACAGCAAACATATGAAATGTATTTATTTTCCTTTTTTTGGTTGCACTTTGATCAAAATGTTAGATTTTAGGATTTCAGTCTGGCTCTCCAGGGACATGCATGTTCTTTGACTGAAACCGATGAAAGATGAAACAGCAGCTGAGATTTCTGGGTGTCTTGTTGTGCAAAATATGTCTGTGACCCAGATTATGAGCCGAAGCGTCTCTGGTGTAAAAACAATGAATGCATAAGAGGCGCAGGCTGGTTACAAACTCACACAGCTGCAGTCAAAAAGGTGAAAACAATCAAATCAAGACAGAACGTTTCCTCTGCTACCTGTTTGGGTTGAAAGAACTTTTATCCAAAAGTGGCTGAAAGTGGGAGAAGAGAGGCAGATGTGCTCTAAAACAGCCAAAGTAACAACCAAAAGTTTTCCTCGTCACGTCTCAGCCTGTTAGAATCACTCCCTGCATCAATAACTGAGTCAAAGCTCTGCTTTGTGGGTCTGAAGGGATTTGTGAAAGGTACTGAGGTCCCACCAGACAGGCAGAAGACGAGAAAGAAGCCAGCTCCAAAGAGGGAACATGAGGCCGCGGGATGAAGGCTAAATGTGAGGAGGAGAAAAATAAAAGCTGCTCTCTTCTTTCCACTTTTAAATTATTTTTATTTTGTGGGATAAAAATATCCTTGCATTATCTAATATCTCTCCACAGCACTGAGACTTTTTAATGACATTTTCCAAGCCACGGATGAAGGTGATTCTGTGCTGCTTGTCCTATTGGACCTTACATCTGCTTTTGATACCAGTGACCATGATATCCTCATTTCTAGGCTAGAGCAGTGCACACAGGGTCAGCTCTAAAATTGTTTAGATCCTACCTCTCTGACAGAACCTTTTGTGTCAACATCAAAGATTTTAGTTCAACATTGACAGCACTTCGGTGGGGGGTACCGCAGGGGGCCATTCTCGGTCCTCTTCTCTTTTCTTCATATCTACTGCCAGTAGGTGCTATTTTTCGTAAACCTGGCATACCCTTTCATTTCTATGTTGATGACTGTCAAATTTACTTCCCTCTGAAACACACCAGTGACCATTCTATTCAACCTCTTCTTGGCTGCCTGGCTGACATCAGGGACTAGATGTCTTTAAATTTCTTAAGTTTTAATGAGAAGAAGACAGAAGTCATGTTGTTCCCTCCTAATGGCACAATCAAGAACCACTGCATCAACCTTTCCTCTCTAGCCCTGTTAGAGAAACAAGTCAGAGTCAGAGATTCTTTATTGTCGTTCGCACTACATGTTATACATGTGGTGGGACGAAATTACCTACACAGTAGTATAGTAAGTAGTAGCCACTAATCTGGGAGTGAAGATGGTCCCTTCCAAGAAACTTGTCATGTAAACGTGATTGTTACATCCTGATTTTTTTTTTCAGTTGCGGTGACTGTCTAAACTGAAGCCCATATTGTCCAAAAACAACCATGAGACAGTAATACGTGTTCATAACATCCAGGCTCCATTACTGCAATGCGCTGCTTGGAATCAGTCAGACCTCCATTGCATGTTTACAACTGGTCCAAAATGCTGCAGCCTGATTTTTAACCAGTACAGGCAAAGAGAGCACATTACACCAGTTTTGGCCTCCCTGCACTGGCTCCCAGTTCACTTTCGAATTCAGTTCAAAATACTTCTGTATGTTTTTAAATCTCTTAACACTTCTGCCCCTTCTCATATTGCTGATCTGCTGCAGCCATATGTCCCACAGTGTTCTCTGAGGTCAGCAGATCAGATGCTTCTATTGGTTCCAGGAACCCGTCTTAAGCTCAGAGGTGACAGGGCCTTCTCTGTTGCAGGTCCAAGACTGTGGACTGAGTTACCACCACATGTCAGGCAGGCTCCCACTCTCACAGTTTTTAAGTTTCACTTAAAAACCCACTTTTATTCCCTGGTTTTGACACTGTGTAATTTGTTTTTAACCTGTCTGTATTCGATAGTGTTAGCCATTTGTTATCTTTTTCCATTTGGATCTACTGTATGCATATTTTACTGTGTGCTTCACTTGTTTGTTTCTGCTGTGCAACACTTTGGTTGGCCTTGTTGCTGTTTTAAGTGCTCTATAAATAAAATGACATGGTAATAAAGGAGCCACACACAAAGATAGGAGAAAAATTTTCAACCCAGTTTACTTGCAAGGGCAGACGTTCAGACAGGCTCACAGATATTTCACTGAAGCCCCGGTCGTGAAGATCTGCACCGGACAGTGTGCGAGGATTGTTTTTATAATGCTTAGCTCTCACAGACAGTCACTGATGACCTTGGCCTCCCAGCTGTATCAAATCAGCTCCTTTCTGAGAGAGGAAAAGAACTCTCTGACCTCACACACATTTCAACATTAATTTAACATTAGTTAATGATAAACATCTTTGACCTTGACCATAATTCCCTGGACAATTTCCCCCCTTCCCTTTAACTTCAACCATCCCTTAACAGCCAAAACTTTGTGAAAGAGAATGTCAAGCCAGCAGATTCCTGATCTTTTATTTTTTTAACCACTCTTCTCCATCATTTCCTCTCAGCGCTCTTCTATAGGTCTTCCTGAGACTGCAGACCATTACCCAGTGGATTCATTAAGACTTTACAAGTTTCTGGTGAGTCTGACCTTTCGGCACCTTTCTCCCAACGTGACATGCTGGATATTTTCTTGCAGCAGACACATAATTTAGAAATCTTTGCTTTTGACAGCACAGCTTGGTTTAGGTTTAGGAACATAACTTTGTCTTTGTGTTATGCCAAGTTTCACAGCCTGAGGTTAAAAGTTGAGTGGAATCGGCATACAACCGTATATGCTTGGATTTTTTTTTATCATATTTTACTTCTTAGTGCCTCTTTCCTCACAATAAGATATTTATTCCTTTTGATGAAAATCATTGAAATGGTCCCAAAGCCACAGAGCGTGGTGTGAATCTAAAAACAAAACAAAAAAACAATTACAGTTGGCTTTCAATGGAACAAAAAAACAGGCTGGCAGAGCACCAGAGCACAAAGAAATGAACTGTAGACACAAAGAGGATAAAAAAAAATACATATAGTAACAGAAAAGTGGAAATAATGAGGGCATTTTCTACATTTGAGTGTATATTCTGATATATTTCTTAAAATATGCTCTATTTGTGTTGCATATAAACCATAGGAATAGTTTTCACTTCTGTTTTTCTGAGTTATTGTATATTTATTTTCATATATTGCTTTTGATATTCTGTTGAATTAATATACTGTTGAACAGTATGGAGTTGATTAAAGCAAAATTAGATGCCTTTAAAAAAAAAAGATTAAATTGAAATATAAGCTTCTGTTTTGGGTTCATATACAGTATGTGAACATCTGATTCCAGATGTGTCAGTGCCTCACTTGTCTCAAACCTCACCGCACATCACTGATATAGCTCTTAATTAGCATTTTTCTGACTTTAGCTAGCATTTTGCTACTCCTGCCTTAAAAACTAGGTGTTTTTGTTACAATTCACTAATTAGGGCACTATAGCGCTTTCATACTTTTTGGAACTTTCTGTATTTCTGGCCCAAAGCTAGCTTTTGGTGTTTTGTTTTTATAATATTTTGCTACTGCTGGCTCTAAGCTAGCTTTGTCTTGCTATTTTGCTTTTTGTGGGGTTTAGCTAGCATTTTCCAGCTTTTTATTTTTATTTTTAGGCTAACCTTTCGCTGCTTTTGGCTACAATTTTAACTTTCATATTAAACAAGCAATGACAGTTCAGTGATTGAAGATTTACTGTTTTATTTTCAGCTTCTTCAGCAGCTTTCAGCAAAATAATTTACCAATCAACATTTACACAGCATTTTCACAGGAAATGTAATTTTTTTCCTAGTTTTTATGTGAATGCTATTTAGCATTTGTTTGAAAAGTGTACTCTTTCTAGCACAAAATGTTATTGAACTATGGAGACCTCTTCTCACTAATAAGACTAAATGATACTCAGAGGGGCCTATATTTTGGATCATTTTTAGATTTAGGACAACAAGTGTAATAATCTCCTGTCCTGCTGTTTTGAAACAACCTCAGTCTGGAGAAATATAGTTTAATTTTGACTGAAGCCGTGACAGCTGGTAAATCAGGTCAGAATTAAATTCTATTTTTGTAAAATTAAGTTACTATCTACAACAGGTAAGATAATAATTGTTCACAATTTTTCCACAGAATCCCACATGTGAACTACTGCTTCAATAAAACAAAAAAACAAACAAACAAAAAAAAAAAACATTCCACTCTGTATTAATGACAAAAAAAAAAAAAAAAAAGAAGAAAAATAAAGTTTCTGTGGGAACAACTTCCTTACCTCCTTCATACTCAGGGCAGTTCCCTGAGGTTTCGTTGAGGCTCTCCTCCTCGGTGATGATGATGTTCTCGATGTCCTTCATTGTCAGGTGGTCCCTGAAGGCGTGGAACAGCACCTGCTTGAGCTCATCCAGAGACAGCTGCTGCATGTCAAACTGCAGGGACACACAGAGATCAATGCAGAGGCACGGCCATCAGCCAAACTGACCATGAAAGCTCAAAGAAGATAAGAACGAGGTTTATCATGTAAAAGATGCTAGATGTATGACACGTTGTCAGGTTGAGGGCAGATATGTTTTGAACTGTGCGAAAAAAGCAACACTGGAGCGGTTTTTGAGTGTCTGATTTGGTACGCAAGAAAATTCATTGTTATGACTTTGCATTTAATGTAGAAAAATTGGCACGTTTACATCTTTGTGCAGGATGGCGGGGACATGTTCATGATTTATGATGCTGTCATCCGGTTTCATTGATGTCTGTCTCTTTGACTCACCCTGTTCTTTTGAAAATTTGCGTCCTTGCTACCCTTAGTAGATTGCCCTAAGACCCACACAAACGTCTGCACACAACAACCTTAAACCTACTGCACTGAGAACATTTACATCACTGACAGTCTTAAATACAAGCAGTGGCACGATTTAACACAACAGATGGAGACAGAGAGGCAGGCATGGCAAAAATAAGATATCAAGGGGTTGATAGAAAGGGGACTGTATAACAGAAGTACAATGAGGTTCAAGACAAACAGATTAAGTAAACAAATGGAGGAAAACATGGAGGCAAAATGTGAAAGAGATGCAATAAAGGAAAATGTTTGTTTTATTATGATTATTCTGCTCCTACATTATCATCCTGATGGTATTACTAAAATACTAATGTGATCAGTTAAAGGCCTAACATTCCTTGAAGGAATGCATATCGCCCATCACCTTTTCATGCCAGAGTTTTAGACTAGGATCATGTTGAGAAATGACAGAGTTGTAGTCGTTTTAGTCAAGCCTTGAACACAACATTATTTTGTGTTCATATATTATCTCATTCAATATTGTGAGATGTCACACTTAGCAATTTTTGTGTTGGCTAATGTCAGTAAGCTGTGTCAGCCATCTTGAATTGGTGTGGTTCCATCCATCCATCCATCCATCCATCCATCCATCCATCCATCCATCCATCCATCCATCCATCCATCCATCCATCCATTATGTTTACCCCAGTGCTTAATTTGAGGCGGATCCTGCAGGAACAGGATCTGGTAACTCTTATTTTGACAGGGTGCGTTCCGGTAACTGTTTGCTTGGATCCAGTAACTCTACTAATAATAAAGTTATGAACAAATGCGACTGCCTTAAATGAACAAAATTTATTTTGGATATGTAAACTATTGTGGTAGGATGCTTGACAGAAGTGGAGTGTTTACAAATGTAGGTAAGCGAAAATGTTTAACTACCTGTTAAAATACACCCAAAATGCAGGAAACCACATCTTTATTCAAAAATTTCTGGGGGAGACCCCCACCCTCAGACTCCCACCCCCAGACATCCAACTCCTGCCCACTATTTGCATTCTGGTGTCATAGCTCTGCTCTCTGTCAGCTCCTCTGTCATGCTGCACACTC